GAATGACTATTATAGAATTATAGAAGTAAAAAAACTTTAAAATTTTCATTAGAGATTGATAATTATATATAAGGTAGAGGAGCAAAAAAAGACATAGTAATTTAAACATATAAAAATATGAAAAAATACTGGAAATATGCCTTTCTCCATTATTCTTGTCTATTTAGTATTATATTATCATTATAAATAAGAATAACTAATTTTTAAGTGCTTCCTATAATCTAGATACTATGCTAAATGTTAAAAAAATATTATTTCTGTTAAGGTCGCACTATTATTATATTCATTTATAGATGAAGAAGTTGAGGCCTAGAGAGTTTAAATAACTCGCCCAAGGTCACACAGCTATTAAGCCTATAAGTTATAATAGAAATATGCTGCACCTAAAATAAAAAACAGAAAAACCCAGCTGGCGAATACACATATTGGAAAACCATATATTAGCAAGGAAAACTACTAAGCTTTTAACAACGGTAGGAGAGGGAACTATTTAAAAATTCAAACACCAACTGTTCTGTGTAAATGGACTTTGAAATTTCATTCAGAGTATGAACACAGGATTATACAACAATTATTTTATGAAGGAATATTATTTGTATACTTTGATAACCTTATTTTATGTACTAGTTATTTATGGTATAAAAAGTGAATATTCTTAGTCATTTTGATTACACTTAATAGTTAGGTTTATACTAGATGATGTATGATTTAGATTTGAAAGATTCAAAAGACTTTTAGAAAGGGATAACTTCCCAAACTCTTATTAAATATGCCATGGCATACACTGAGTGGTATTCCACACCAGCAGGGGCAAGTAACCAGGAATGGCAGCCTTTGTGCAACCAGGTCAGAGCCAAGTTAAAATCTTGACAGCTGGTACTAAACACCTCCTCAAGTAGAGAAAGTCAATCCACATTCTGGGTAATGCAAGCACTTCACTTCATCAACAATATAGATTCATAAAATTACCAAAATAAGAAAGAAAAAAACTCAATACCAAAAAATGCCTTGGATTCCAAATGTTCCCAGTCACTACTCCTGGGACAAAAAAACAAAATTAAATTTCTCTATTTCTAAAACAATCAGATTGGTGTCAGTAGTGGATGCTTAGCCAGTTGTGTACACAGAGCACAAAAGGTAATTATTTCAGCAAGAAGAGCACGGCCACAGGGCTTAAGAAAAAAATACCACCTTCTCAGTGAAGCCTTCTCTGACCACCCCATTTAAACACTTCCCCAAGAATTCCCTAGTCCCATTCTGTTTTATGTTGCTCCATAGCACATAACACAATATAATATGCTTTTAATAATATTCTATTATTTACCATCTGCTCCCTCCACTAGAATGTAAGTCCAGGAAGGCATAGACCTTTGTTTGTCTCCAGCTACATTCCCAATGCCTAGAAGAAAGGCTGGCACATTGTAGGCACTCATTTATATAAGAATGAATGAACTTTTGAAATAAAGAATCTTATCAAGCATCACTAGTGAATTCCTTTAGATAAAAGGCATTTAACTAAATAATGCATCCTCTTAACTGCTTACAATACTTGCCTGGTTCAGAAAGCACAAATGGAAGATTAAATGAATGCATGACTACAAAGAATTTTAAAAGAACTACACAATGCTTAGAATTAAAATGGCATATCTGTATCTTTATTAGTAGTAATTAAATATGCAGTAAGAGAAGTATGAAGTATAACACTACCACATTAGCTTCACTTGCATGTGACGTCTAGAATAAACAAATTACTATGATGACAATGGATATGACTGAAGTCATAGAGGAAGAAAAGTGGATGGGAGACAGACAAAAGCCAACTCTGAGAAGAAAAACTCCCTTTTACCTAGGAACATTATATGAAAGCAGATTAATCACTCAGTTAAAATGGCTTAAAAAAACAAAATGGTAATAAGAACAAAAGAAAAAATTAAAAAGCAAAGCTGTCAGTGAAAAATAAAGAAGAGGCTACAGAGGTTCCCAGTCATTCATTTACCAAAAAGTATGTCTAAATATGCACAAATAAAAGAGCCTCTTAAAGTCAGTGAGGCCTTAATGGATTCTGGAATGTATGGAAATGGACATCTGTTTATCTTAATGAAAAAACCCCTAGCTATAGACTTTCCAGCAGGTGCTGATCACTGTTTCTTTTTTCCATCATACTAAGTCCCCTGTTACCAAGCACCTGAGTCAATTTTTTAAGCAATGGAATGCTGGCACTTTAAATTCCACAGTAATCACTTCAAAACTGGAAAAGTACTTATTTTCTGAAGATAAACATGTGTTTTTTTATATTATACCACTGTTCAAGAATTTTTTAAGGGGCTACAAGTCAAGGTAGCCATGAACAAATGAATAAATGTTTTACTTGAACATCCAGATATGCTGACTTTGAAAATATCAGAATGTCAGAGTATTTAAGGAAAAAAATGAAAATGAACAATGTAATGGTATTAATGATTAAGGAATAAGAACAGTATTTAAGCTGGTCATTGACATATTCATCTCAATATAATGCAGAACTGTGACTCTGCAGCTGGTGGCTATAATTCACTCTGTGTAAAATTAGTGCTAATTTAAAATAGAAAAATATCTATATAAAATAATTTTTCCTTCATTAAGTTAAGTTTTGAAATGGTTGTTCCAAGGCCATATATCTTCAAACAATGGTTATTTACTAAGATGAGCTTTCATTAAGGAATACACATAAAGGTCATTCCAGTGTACCGCCTCAGGTTAGAGACAAATCAACCTCAAAGGCCAATTGGTCAGTGAGACTGCACCAAACAATTTTTAGCAATTAACAATTCACTTTGGGATAGTTATGAAAACCACTAATTTTGATATTTATTTAAATATGATTGAATAAATTGAATGCAAATCTGTAGTCAAGCTAAATTCACGTATCCAGTATTCTACACAAGTGTGAGATACTAAAATGGAGAATATTTTGTACCTATTTATGTGAGGTGGAAAGTAAACATGAGACATGATCATGATCTGTCAAATCATGGACTTCCACGAAGTGCTGTCATTTAAAAAAAAAAGTTTTTCTTTCCTTGTTAAGTATTTCAACTGTAACACTAAAACTTAGTTTATCATCAGGAAAAAAAAGTTTGGTGGTATTCCTGTAGTAAAGAAGAACGACTTTGAACAACAACAAAAAAACCCCACTCTCACTGCTAGCTTTGGGACTTAAGAGAACTCAGGAGAAAACTAATACTTAGGGAAGAAAAATTCACAACTATATAAAATATGTGATGATAATCTAAGGAGAGATAAACTTCCTAAAATAAAAATTTTCTAGTTTCTTTAATGTTTATAAAATTAGGGAATCTTTACTAACCAAAAATGGACATGAAGGTTGTTATAGGTCTCATATAATGTAAAGCTCCCTCTGTGTAACTTTATAGTCTAAATTTAAAAAAGAGGAAAATAATTGAAGTCCTTCTAAATCTAATCTCAGGCTTTCTATAAAGAAAATTAATGAAAGGCAATCATATAACATGAGAGATATGGCCAATTATCTTGTAATTTGTTCTAGAAATCTAGGGAATTAAAGTGAGTTTAAAGGTTCCATGGAACTAGAAGTATTACAGAGTTAAAGGACTCAATATTAATTGTGCTGTAACAATGAATTAACCTAAGGCTCTTTAAATATCATTCTTCAGAAACTTCGAAAGAAACAGAATTCACAAGAAAAGAAGACTGGACAAAGTGACAAAATTCTACCTTAACTTTCCAGAAGACAAAATTCAATATATAGTTTTAATAGAGTAAGACACTAGACCTAAAGTCAAAACTAAAAGAGATTTGAATCCAAAAAAGACTTCAATATTCATTCCTCAAAAGATACTAAAATCTTTGTTTTCACATAATTCAAAAGGAAGGAAAGGTTCCAAAAAAACAAGGGTTGGCCTAAGTCATTACGAGGAACAATACTGAATATTTTATTCACTGCTATGTCACCAGCACTTGGAACAATACCTGGTACCCTAAAATAAATATTTGTTGAATGAATGAATAAATGATTAACAATGTGACCTAGTACTTGAGATTGCCTATAGAAAATTAAATATAAAATAGATTTCTTTTAAAAAAAAATCAACCTATGGGAATTAATTTGAGAGGATGGATAGCATTAAAAAATCCTCAAACCCTCCAATTCATGGTAGAATAACACTGCCCAAAGAACTTTAAAATTTCATGCAAAATTTCATGCAAAATTTCATGTAAACAAAATTATCAATATTCAAAGTTTTGTGCCTTAAATAAATTACTTTCATGAAGTCTTGGAGATTCATATAGATTGTAAAATCAGAGAGTTGTCAGGGACCTTAAAGATCATCCAGTTTACCATCATTACACACATAAGGTTATGATTCCTTCATTTAAACACTTAATATTTCATGCTTTCTATTAAAAACAAAAAAGTTCTTTTGAGAAGCTGAATCACAGAACAAATTTCAAACTTTTTCACTCTGAAATGGCAAAATATGCAAAACTTCAAAAAAGTGCTCTACCAAAAAAGAGATGAGTAGTGTTATGAAACACGAAGCACTAGGAGTGAATCTGGGGATGTGCAGAGGAAATAACAGAGAAATAAAACATATAATTAAAAAAAATCAAGAAATAATTAAAGCGATGGTGAATGTCTAATGCAAGAAAAGGAACACTGGTTTACTTCAAATAAATATGTAAAAATAAATTATAGCAATGAAATGAGAAAAGGTAGAGGAAAGGGTAGTCCTTTTGTGTCATCATTTTCAAAAAAGACTGGAAATCAGTTTTTCTTTACACTGAAGAATATTACTTTTTAAGAACTATTGTGCACAGTGAGATGAGATATAATGACAGGAATTTAATATTATCTTTATCAGTATCGAAACACTAGGATCTTAACATTTAAGCTTATCACAGTTAACCTAAAACAATAGTTTTCTTCTGAATTGAAAACTATTTTATTTGGAACTATAAATATTTTTAAAAATTGGACTTACTGGAATAGATATTTTTTTCAAATTACAGTCCTTTTCCAGGAGCTCGTATACATACTTCGTGATGATCTAAGTAGGAAAGAAATAACATATTAAAATGCAATGTTGTCCATTATCAAAATTCACATAAATTATTAAAATTTATTGCTCTGAAAATCTATCTTGGAATATTTTCATACTAAATTAAGAGGCTCTTTACTGGTTTACTTCCTGCTGCTGTGTACTGAATAACTATGCACTAAGGATTCAAAATAGTTAATATAAACACAAAAATACACAAGGACTTTCTATTTTACAAAGCAATACTCTGTAAGCATATTTTCCTTTTTTTTTGCAGTATTTCTAGAATTCTCTTTTCCCTATAATTTCCCTATAGGTATTATACCTAATATAGCACGATCATGACTCTGCTGAATCCTAACACTTCTTTTGTATTCCATGAATCAAAGAGGGAAAAGTCAGAGGTATTCCAAACAGAAAAGGAAAACTGGTCCAGCAAAGCCAGGCACCAGTTAGTATTACCGGTTATATTAGGCAGAAACATGGCTGCCCAAAGATGTCTACATCCTAACTCCTGTTAACCTGCTAATATGTTATGTTACATGGTAAAAGGGACTTTGCAGATATGATTAAGATTAAGAACCCAAGATGGGGATACTACCCTGGATTATCTGAGTGGGCCCAACTTAATCACATAAATCCTTATAAGTAAAAGATTACCGAACAGTATGTCAGAAAGATGCAAAGTGAGAAGGCCTCAACAGGCCATTGCTGGTTTTGAAGACGGAGGAAGCAGACAACGAGCCAGGAAATGTGGTGGCCTTTAAAAGGTGGTATAATCCTCAGTTTATAGACAGTAAGAAAACAAGACCTAGGTGCTACACTTGCAAGGAACTGAATTCTGCCAACAACTCAAAGAAGCAGTAAATGGATTCTCCCCCTAAAGACTCCAGAAAGGAACAGCCTGCCCAACACCTTGATTTTAGTCTGGTGGCACTCATACTGAACTTCTGACCTCAAGAATTGTAGGATAATATATTTGTGTTGTTTTAAGCCACTAAATTTATGGTAATTTGTTACAGCAGCAACAGAAAACTAATACACTATTTCTATTAAAGAAAGCAAAGCAAGTGAAGAAAGAGATGTCTGGAGTAAAAGTGATGATTTAATAGGCTTTAATGGTCATTTTAAGGAGTGTTTCAAAAATATCTTGAATCATCTATGCACAGTATCTCAGAGAATAATTTTAGCAGCAACATAATTAAAAGTCAAATCTTAATATGAAACAAGATCAGATGATATTTTTTTTAGAAAAATTAAGATCACTTTGGTGCTGTCTTCTGTCATCTGAAATAAGATTCTCTATCCTGCTTTCTCTAAGAAGTCCAAAATCCCTCCTTCTCTGTATACATATTCATTCATTTTAGAAACAGTATATTAGATGTATGCTAGAACAGCTTTATATTGTCTGGTAATAGTAATTTCAAAAGCTACAACACTAAACCAGAACTAGGTGATAATCTACTAGTTATTAATTGAATAGTATTCCTATATTTTATGTAGAATTTTAAATTATGTTCATTATACCTTCACCAGAAAGTAGCAGTACTATAAACCTGAACGAGTAAATATATGTATGAGTCTAAAAATATACATGAAGTTATAAATGGGTTACCACTTCAAGAGAAATGGGGTTTAACTAAATGAGATTAGCTAAAATGAGTGGGTTATCATTTCTAAAAATTTCCTTCTACGAAATCATAAAATATCCTTACATTTATAGAAACAATAAAACCAATCAAACTTAAACTCAAATGAATTCTACCACCATGCAAAATACTTACAAGACATAATTTGAGAATTAAAAAATTATTTTGTCAGGTTATATCTTATATCAATATGAAATACATATTGCAGTTAATTCTCAATTTGATACTGCAATATAATACAAAACAATTCAAACATTGCTTACATTTGACTTTGAAAAACATTATAGAGCAAGTATCTGTTCTAATAAAACCATACGTCGAATAGAGTTGGAAAGACACTACCTAACTTGCCCAATTTCCCTTGCTCTCAAAGTCCTGACTGCAGAAGAAAAGCAACCATAAACTAAACCATCTAACTTGTAGGCAGTTTTCTCTGCTGGAATGTTCTCCTGCACCCTAGTCATCCTCCAAGAGACAGATCACATGTCAGCTGCTTTAGGTGACATTTTCCTGCCTCATCCCAACCCTCCAAGGTAAGACAAAATGTCCCACCTCTGTGCTTCTTTGCACATGCCTGAAGCATATGAGTTTGATATTATTCACCTGTCTTGTTACCTGACTAGCCTGAGAACACTAGAATTTAGGTATCCTACCTCTACACTTCTGTGTATCCATACAGGATAGTGTCTGGTGCATTGAAGGTACTTTAAAACAGTATACAAATTCTCTTCACTGTTCATTCTGTCTATGTCCTTTGAGGGAGATAAGTGTTTCAGATTTTTAAAAAATCTTTCTAACTGCTGAATTGAGGCTTAGAAAGAAAGCATCAAGGATTCATAGCCTTACAGCTTGAGGAGGACTGCAGTCTGCATTTAGAAAAGTCAATAAATGAAAATATAATTTTGAAAAAAATAGATGAAAAAAAGTATCTCGCCCAAATGTAATCTATGTTCAAATATTCACTAGAAACATTGTTTCCAGTGAAGTTCCTACATGAAAAGAAAAGGCTTAAGAGACTAATAAGACTGAGCTAAAGTGAAATCTTCATTCTAATAAGAAACATAGGAACTTCTGGTTTCTGTTCTGAAATATGAAGAGCCTGGAAGTAGTCACTCCTATCCTCACAAAAAGAAAAAAGCTGAACAAACTGAAAACCAATGACTCTTCTTAGATCTATCGGATATCTGAGGTCACAGGGCAAACTGCTTCCCCGAAAACTGGAGAGACAGCCAGGCAGATACAGAGGATAAGGACTTACTGGTAACAAAAGCGCAGGTGCAGAAGTGTTGGCTGAAACCAGTCCTGGGGCAGGAACACTTTCAACTATAATTGATTAATTTCTGGAGGTTCAATATGAATACTAGCTTAAGAATGAAAAATTAGGAGGGGCCTCAGCCTTAAAGAAGGATTCTCCAAACTTCTATGAGTTTTACCTCCATGAGCCTCACTAGGTTCTCACTGTGGAGATTAGAGAAAAATCTTCACCTGCTTCCAGCAGGGGAAGAGGAAAGTAACCATTTTGAAACACTACTGACCTCTGTTCTACTTAATAAGGCCTTCTCACAAGGAAAACTATTTCACCAGAGCGTAACTGACAGAGGGGAAGCAAAAGGTTCACTAAAAGACTGAGACCTAATCATAGGACTATAGAAGGTTTCCTCCCACCCTTCCTCACATTACCACCATAGCAATAGGGCTCCTATAAAATAACAAGGAATGAGATACAGCTAAAAGAACTGCAAGGCTCACCCCTATTTAAAGTCTCCAGGAACACTTTTAAAGACAACAGGGAAAACAAAAACAAGGACATAAGAGGAAATTTTAGCCTTGGCCACAAGAGCTACCGCAAATAGTAGACACAGACTGACTCCTAGCCAGATAAACATAAAACTTCACACTAAAGACCTATCTACCAAAGTTCCTTTTACCCAATACAACATGTCCAGCTTTCAACAAAAAATTACCAGGCACACTAAAAGGCAAAAAGAAAGAACCCGAAAAGACAAATCAAGCATCAGAAAATTTGGGATTATCAGAATTGGAATTTAAAACAATAAGTAATATGCCAAAGGATTTATTGAAAAAGTTGACAACATAAAAGAACAGATGAGTACGTAAGCTGAGAGATGGAAACTCTAAGAAAGAATCAAAAGAAAATGCTATATCAAAAACACTGTAATGAAAATGAAGAATGCCTTTGATGGGCTCATCAGTAGACTAGATATGGCCAAGAAAAGAATCAAAGAGTTTCAAGATGTAACAGTACACACTTTCAAAACTGTAATGCAAAGAGGAAAAGAAAGAATGAAAAGATGGAACAGAATATCTGAGAATTATAGGGCAATTACAAAAGTTTTAACATATGCATAATAGTAATACCAGAAAGAGAAGAAATAGAAAAGAATAGAGGAACAATTTGACATAATAATGGCTGAGAATATTCCAAAATCAATGACAGACACAAAACCACAGACCCAGGTGATCCAAAGAACTCCAAACAGGATAAATACCAAAACCACACCTGGCCATATCATATTAAAACTGCACAAGCCAAACACAAAGAATCCAGACTGGCAGTATGGAGAGATCTGGGGGAGTGAGGGATGTGGAAGACTTTACCTAGAGAGGAAAATAAAGTAAGAATTATATCAGACTTCTCTTCAGAATCACGCACATAAGAAGAGAGCAGATTGAAATATTCAAAGTATTGAAAGAAAAAATCCACCAATCTATAATTCTGTATCCAGTGAACTTATCCTTCGAAGGTGAGAAATAAAGATTTTCTCAATCAAAAACTGAGGGAATTTTTGCAAGCAGATCTACCACAAGAAATGTTAAAATAAATTATTCAGAGAGAAGGAAAATTATATAGGTCAGAAATTTGGATGTACATAAAGAAAGGAAGAGTGTTAGAGAAGAATAAATTAAGGTAAAATAATTTTAAAATTTTTTCTTATTCTTTTTTTAATAAATTTATTTATTTATTTATTTTTGGCTGCATTGGGTCTTCATTGCTGCACGCAGGCTTTCTCTAGTTGCGGTGAGCAGGGGCTACTCTTGGTTGCAGTACGTGGGCTTCTCATTGCAGTGGCTTCTCTTGTTTGTGGAGCACGGGCTCTAGGTGTGCAGGCTTCAGTCGTTGTGGCACGTGGGCTCAGTAGTTGCAGCTCGTGGGCTCTAGAGCACAGGCTCAATAGTTGTGGCGCACAGGCTTAGTTGCTCCGTGGCATGTGGTATCTTCCCAGACCAGGGCTTGAACCCGTGTCCCCTGCATTGGCAGGCAGATTCTCAACCACTGTGCCACCAGGGAAGTAAGTCCCTTTTCTTATTCTTAATTGACCTAAAAGACAACAGTTTGTT